GTCCAGGTAATTTCACAAGGGAATTCTGCAAAACCTTTAGAGACCGTATGTATTCCAGTGTTACATGAATTATTTCTGAACATAGAAAATGAAGAAAACCCTTCTAATTATGAAGCAAGAGTAATACCAATTTCTAAACCTAAGGATAGCACAACAAATGAAAATTACAGATAAATATTTCATGATATCAATGCAAAATCCTAAATATTGTGTATCTAACACCTTACTAAGAAAATACATTGTGATGACATAAGTTTTATAGTAGGAATACAAGGATGATTTGGTATTTGGATCACTGTTGATGTAATTCACCATGTTAATAGGTCTAAGGAGAAAAATCATATTCTCCTTGCAGATGCTGAAAAAGTCTGTGACAAAATTCAATAGCTATTCCTAATAAAAACTGAGAAAACCTGATTTTCATAAATATGCACACACCTTAACTCTAAAGTCAGCATTTTAGTCATAGTGAAACACTGTGATAAGAAACAAAGTAAGGTTGCCCATTATCTTTGCTATTTAATATTGTACAGGAAATATAAACCAATGCAGATAAGAAAGAACTGTTACAAACATAATGGGGAAGGAAAGGTTTCTTTGTGGTGATGTGATAGTCTATCTGGAAAGCCCTAAAAAAATCAGTGAAAATACTATTTCAGGATAGTTTAGAAAGATAGAAAAAATAAATCTTATAACAGCACCACAAAATAGATAAAATATCTAAATTCCTAAGAATTTACCTTTAATAAGAATTCTAAAAATCCTATATGAAGCAACCTGTAAAACATTCCTGAAAGACAAAAGGCAAACCTGGACAAATGGAAAGACATCCCTGGTTTTTGGTTAAGACATCTCAATATCACAAAGATGTCACTTCTAAGTTAATAATTGAGATTCCATAGAAGTTCCAATAATTTTTTGGTACACAGCTAAACTGGTTACTTACTGAAGTTCATTTGGAAAAATAAGCATGTGAGGCTATCAAAACATTAAAGAGAGTATCTTTGAGAGGGGTCTAGCCCTATCAAATAACAAAATTTACAAGGAAGCCTCTCTAAAAAGCAAGGTACTGACATGAATAAACGAACCAATGAAATAGTATAAATTCCAGATGTGGACACATACATATGGAAACCTAGTACTTAAAGTGCTCTTTCAAATCACTGAAACAAAGTAAGTATTTTAGTAAAGGTGTTAGCACTAGATAGCCATTTGGGAAAAGGTAATTGTATGTTCATTCTAAGAAAATATGAGCAAATTTTTCTTTACCATGGTGTAAGGGAAAATTTTCTGTGAATCAGTCAAAATACCATGAGAGAAAACTGGTAAATTTTAGTACATTAAAAAATATTTTCATTGCATGGCAAAACTCTATAAGCCAAGTCAAAATTTGTCATATAGTACAGACATAAAGCAAATTCCTAAATACAAAGAACTTCGAAAAACATTTAAAACACTAAAAACCTTGAAGAAAAGGGGGAAAAGATAAGATCAGACACACAGAAAAGAAGATGCAAAAATGGCTCAAAAAGAAAAAGAAAAATGCCTCAGTGTTAGGTTATGCTGACCACATCTTGTTTTTTAATACCAATTCCCAATAAAGAGGACAAGAGTTCCTTGGAGAAATGAATTATTTCAGGGCTGGAGCAGTGTAGGTATAAAATGATCCTGAAAAGTCTTGATGTGCCAGAAAGTAAGGCAGTACTTAAAAATTGATGGGGCATGTAAAGCACAGGAGCCAGTTCAGGGGGGTCCTAGTAGCCAGGTCTGGGATAATTTAAGCCCCAAAATAATTAAGGACAGTGGTGAATTATAAACCAATTGGGGAAAAGGAGTAAGTGAATTTGTACTGATGATGAATAGGTAGGTTGGTAGGTAATAGGTTAGTATATACAGAAGATGATGGGAGAGCTTCTTGCTAAGTGGTAAAAGACTTAGATTTAGAAAATCATTTTTCAGCCATCTTAGTAAAGTTTGCTTTGGCAGGAGTTATTGAATACTAAATTTAAGGCTGGGGCGGGGTGGAATTTCAAAGAGAAACAGTATGTGTATGTTATAAAGTATTTCCTGAAGACTGCTTACTAATTGCAAGGAAAAATACAGTAAGGATACAACGGGAGAAATGGACAGCGCCTTGACAGAATGATCAAAATTAACACCACCAGTGAAGGGCAGATAAGCATATTGTGTCTCTAGATGTAATAGTCTGAGAAGGATGCACCACTTTCATAGTATTATGGGGGTGCATAACCTGAATCTAATGAGGAAACATCAGATGAACTCCAGATGAGAAACACTATATTAAGGGGGGAGGGGGCATACATTCTTCAAAAATAATTTCTAGATTAAAGGAAAGTAGGAGATAAATGTAATCCTGGAGTGGATGGAAGAAATGCTATAAAGGATATTATATTGGGTCCATTGGACTATGGGTGGTAAATTAGAGGGAACTATTACATTAACGTGAAATTTCCTGAAACTGATAACTGCTGTAGTTATGAGAGAATGTTTTTACTCTTAGGAAATGCACACTGAACTTTTTTGGGATAAGAAGATAATGATGTATGCAATTTACTCTCAAATGAGTCAGAAAAACTTCTGTGTGTTTAGAGAGAACCATAAAACAAATGGGGCAAAATGTCAGTAATTGGTGAATCTGGATAGAATACACAGAATTTCCTTGAATGTTGAAATTATTTCCAAGTAGAAAGTTAAAAAGAAAAACTACAGTGACATACCATTTTTCATCTATCATATTGGCAAAAAGAAATCAAACACTGAGGCTGTGGGGAAACATGCTCTCACTATTACTGCTGATGCAAATGCAAAATGGTCAAATTTCTGGCTAGGAAAATTTAGCAATCTCTAACAAAATTACATATATATTCACCTTCTACTCAGCAGTCCCATCTATGAGAATACACCCTGAAGGAAGCAATTAAAATATATATGTATGTGTACATATACATGTTTGTTCATTACAGCAATATTTATAATTGCAAAACATTGAAAACAATGTCTGAATGAGAGATTGTTTGAGTAAACATACATACAGTGTGGAGTAAGCAGCTGAAGAGAAAGTAAGGTGTCTATGCACTGAAATGGAACAATTTCCAGTGTATATTTCTAAACTAATTAAAGGACAGAGGGATTTATTATGTGGCTTTTTGTGTAAAAAGAGGAAATAAGAAAACAAATATAACTGTTTACCTTTTTGAAACATAACACCCACAAGAAGGATGAACCAGAAAGCAATAAAGTTGGTACCCACCTGCAAGAGTGGTTGGTGAGAGAGGAAAGGAAATAACATCTTTCCACGTTAAAACTTCTTACATAGTTCTTTATGTTTGGAAGCAGGGATATTTTTAGACCAAAAAACGAAATTAATTCTGTAAGGATGGTAGGGGACACTAAATGCCAAGAGCAAACCAAACCCAACTTACTTCAAATCAGTAACATAACCACAATGAAGGAGGGGAAATAAATAACAAGCCAAGTAACTCTTGAACTCAATACTTTGTCCCTGAGTTTGAGGGGAAGAGACCACAAAGAAATTCTAAACTAGAGTAAATTTGGTTTTTGAGACTATTTCAGTGTATAAAAGGATTGAGCAAATGACAAAATGTTAATTTTATCGGGAGCCAGAGTTTTCAGTATGGAAGAAGAAACACAAATAATGGATGTCAGAGAGTAAGGAAAAGCCCCAGGGGATGGATTGGAATTGGAAGTGTAAATATAAACTCATGATTTTCTAAAGTACCGTTGCCCCTTAAACAACATGGGGTTAGGGGCGCCAATCCCCATGCAGTCAAAAGTCCAAGGATATTTTGACTCCTTACAAACTTTACTAATAGCCTCCTGTTAATTTTATGGTAGCAATGGTTAAGTAGACTAGTGTCTGCATGATATGTTATACATTCATACTATCCAGTTTTTTCATAATTTTTCATTATTTCTAGGCTACATGATAGATCTGTGAATTTTTTCAAACTTGACAAATCTCCAAAAAATTTTCCAGTATGTCTAACTGAAAAAAAAATTCACGTGTAAGTGGACCCATGCAGTTCAAACCCTTATTGTTCAAGGGTCAGCTATACATGTGTGTATATATATTACAGTTGTGTCCGCTGAAGGGGCCCAGAGGCAAAAAGGTACCCCAGTAGCAATGAGCACAGAGGACCTAGATTTTTGTTTTTAGTATCATTCCCCCACTAAAAGAAACAGGCTCTTTAGAGAAATGTTTCCCAGGGTTGACACAAGAAAATGACAAGTTTAAACCTGGAATATCTTGTGCCAGAAAATAGGGAATTGCTTAGGTAGTGATAGGGGCATGTCAGAATGACACAGGAGTCAGCTTGATACGGATTATTTGAGTTCCCAATAAGGACAGTAATGAATTGTAAGCCATTGAAAAGTACAAATTCAAGAGTGGTTACCCATAGTAAAAGAAAAAAGAAGTATCTTCCTTATGGAAGAATGCCACCTGATGCATGTGGAAGAAATCCTGGGGTTCGAATATCATAGAAGAGATTGGGCAGAAATTCATAAAAAGAAAAATTTTCCCATTTGCAACAAGATGGGTAGATCTAGAGGGTGTTATGTTCAGTGAAATAGGCAAATGGATAAACAAATACCAAATGATTTCACTTATTTGTGGAGTATAAAAACAGCAAAAAGGAACAAACAAAATAGCAATAGACTCATAGACACTGAGAAGGGTAGTGGTTACCAAAGGGTAGGAGTTGGGGAGAGTGGGAGAAGGGAGAAGGGGCACAATAATTCACAATCACAATATAGGTTGGTTATGGGGACAATAGTACAGCCAGGAGAATACAGTTAATGATTCTGTAACAGTCTTAACTATGCTGATGGACAGTGACTGCACTGGAGGAAGTGAGGACTTGATAATAGGGGTCAATGTTGAGCCACTGAGTTGTGTATTTGAAACCAACATAAGATTGTATATCAATGATACTTTAATTTTTTTTTAATGTCCCCAGGTATCCTTTCAATAAACATTTATTACCTGACCAAAAAAAAAGACTGGGCAGAAATCATCATTGGATGCTATATCTGGAATGAAATTTTGGTGAGCAAAATATTTGTTTGGTCTTTAAGTGTCTCCCATATGTTGCTTATTAAAAAAGGGAGGATAGACTATAATGGAGAACCAAACTATACTGAAACCAGGTCTTCAAACGTACCACCACCAATAAGAGCCAAATGGACATCGTGTATTCTGGATTTGCTATCCTGGAAGAGCATCAGTTATGTAGCATTTTAGCTGGGGATGTACAACCTGAATCTAACCACAAACCTCAAACTGAAAAGAAAGCAATATTTATTTTAACAAGGATTGGAGTTCTGTGTGGAAGAGTTCCAAGTAATTTGTATAGATGCTCCACCTTAAAAGGAGGGTGCATAACTCCCCTCTCAAGTTTGGACTTCACGTGGTCACTTCCTCCCAAAAAAGAAAGGGGTTGAGTAACTTTACAGTGGAGAAACCTGACAAAATACTGCTTCATGGCAGGTGATCAAAGTCAACATAAATAAGATGTGATAAGTTATGTTAATAGTATGTTTCCTTGATTTGATGTGACACTACTATGATCTTCTTCCCAAAACCATTAACCTAGTTATGAGAAAATTATGAGGACAAATCACAATAGAAGGATATGCAACAAAAATACCTGACCAGTACTTCTTGACACTGTCAGGGTCATCAGAAACCAGGAAAACTTGAGAAATTGTTATAGCCAAGAGGAGCTTAAGACATGACAACTAAATATAGTGGATCTTGGAATAGAAAAAAAAAATTAGGTAAAAATGAAGAAAATCCAAAGACAGTTGGCATTTTCTAAAATTTTATGTAAATGAATTCATACACACAGTATGGGTTCTTTTTTTGTCCTGTTTTTACTCAACATAATTATTGTCCATGTTGTGTATATCAATAATACATTCCTTTTTATTGCTGAGTAGCAAAATAGAATCATTGTGTGGATATACCACAGTTTATTCATTCACCTGTTGGTGGACATTTGGGTTGTTCCAGTTTTGAGCTATTACGACCATTCTATGTATGTGTTTGTATGGAAATATGCTTTCATTTCTCTTAGATAAATACTGGGAAGTGAAATGGATGGTAGGTAGTGTATATTTTCGTTGTAGGAAACTGCTTGTTTTCCAAAGTGCTTGTGTTTTACATTCCCATTTGCAGTGTATAAGAGTTCCATTTGCTGCACAGGCCATAGACTTACTTTTAATTTTAGCCATGTTAATAGATGTAGAAGAGTATAAATAGATGTATGAGTGCCTTGTGATTTTAATTTGCATTTTCCTAATGACCAGTGTTGTTGAGCATCTTTTTCTATCTTTGTTTGTTATCTGTATATCTTCTTTATGAATTGTCTGTTTTGATCTTTTGTTTTTTTTCCATTGAGTTGTTTCAGTTATAGAGTTTTAATAGTTCTTTATATATCCTAGACCCAAATTCTTTATCAGATACATGATTTGCAAATATTGTTTTCCAGTCTATGGCTTATCTTATTCTCAAAACACTGTCTTTCAAAGACCAGAAGTTCTAATTTTAATCAAGTCGAGTTTATCAATTCCTTTATGAGTCATACTTTTGATGTCATACCTAAAAACTTTATGCCTATCCTAATAAGATCATGAAGTTTTTCTTTTCTTTTTCAATTTATGAGTCCAGCTCTTACTATGAAGTCTGTGGTCCATTCTGGGCTTATTTTTGTATATGATGTGAGGCACAGATCAACATTTTATTTTTGTGTGTGTGTGTTGCTTTGTTTTTGCATATAGTTACCTACTAGTTCCAGCACTTTTTGATGAAAAGACTTTGTTTTTCTCCACTGAATGACCTCTTCATCCTTGTCAAAAATCAATTAACCGTGTATATTTTGGGATCTATTTTGGGACTCTGTTCTTCTGATCTCTTTATCTTTATGTCAAAATCCCATTGCTTTGATTACCATAGCTTCATAATATGTCATAGAGAGAAGTGTAAGTCTTTCACTTTGCTGTTTCTTTTCAAATTTATTTAGACTATTATAGATCCTTTGCAGTTCCCTATGAATTTTAGAATTAGCTCATTAGTTTCCACCAAAAAAATTGTGCTGATTTGATTAGATTGTGTTGAATCTGTAAATCAATTTGAGAAGAATTAGCATTTTAACAGTATTGATTCTTCTCCATGAACACAGTACATCTTTCCATTTATTTAGATCTTTAATTCTTTCAGAAACATTTAGTAGTTTTCAAGGAATCAGTCTGCATATCTTTTGCCAGATTTATTCTCAATTATTTCATGTTTTTTGATACTATTGAAAATAATAATTTTTTCTTCAATCTGCTTGTTGTTAATATATAGAAATACAGTTGATTTTCATGTATAGTATTGTGTCCTACATACTTGCTAAATTCATTTGTTAGCCAAGTGCTTTTTGTATAGTCCATCAGATTTTCTTCTTAAACAATTTTGTTGTCTGGTAATAAAGATTCCTTTCTTTCCAATCTGGATTCTTTTATTTTTCTTGCCTTATTGCACTGGCTAGACTCTCCAGTGCAATATTGAATAGAAGTGGCAAAAGCAGATATGCTCATTCTGTTCCCAGTCTTAGAAAGCATCCAGATTTTCACCATTAAATAATATGCTAGCATTAGGGTTTCCCTTAATGCTCTTTATCAGGGGAGAAAGTTCTCTATTCCTACTTTGCTGAGGGTTTTTATCAGGAACAGATGTTGGATTTTGTCAAATGCTTTTTTTCTGCATCTCTCAAGATAATTGCATGGCTTTTTCTTTTTCTTTGTCAGTTAATAGGGTGACTGTTGATTTTTAAATGGTGATTTTGCTTTGGATTCCTGGGATAAACCCACTTGGCCATGCTATATTATTATTTATGTGTTCATTTCAGTTCACTAAAATTATGTTAAGTATGTTTGCATCCTCTATATTCATGAGGATATTCTTCTGTAGTTTTCTTGTAATGTCTTTTTGTAATGGTTTTGGGATCAGTAGTGTTGGCCTAGTAGAATGATTTCAAAACTACAATACTTTTTTAATCTTCTGGAAGAATTGGCATAGAATTGGTAGTATTTCTAAAGTAGAATTCCCCAGTGAACCATTTAGGCATGAAGGTTTAACTACAAATTTAGTTTCTTTACCTATTCAGGTTAGTATACTTAATTACCCATACAGGTAATTTGTGTTTCTTTATGAGTGAAGTTTGGTTTTGTGTCTTCCAAAGAATTTGTGGATTTCATCTATATTGTCAAATTTATTGGCATAAGATTGTTGGTAATATTCTTACTGTCCTTTTAATACCTGTGAATCTGTAGTGATGTCATCTCTCATTCATGATACTAAAAATTTTCTTTTTTTCCCTATGTCTGATTTGAGGTATATTAATCTTATTAATCATCTCAAAAAACTAGCTTTGCTTTCATTTTTTTCTTTTTGTTTTTTTGTTTTTATTTTGTTGATTTTCACTTGGAACTTTGAATATAGATTTCTGATTATTTTTTCCTTTAAAAGTTTGAAGGCATTACTTTTATTTATCTTGCCATTGAGAAGCTTACTCATTAACCACTTCACTTCTCTTTATGTGGCAGTGTTTTTCTTGAAGATTTTTGTATCTTTATGTGCAGAGTTCTGTTTATTTTTATAGTGTACCTTTATATAGATTTCTTTTTTTAAGTCATTAAGCTGGATTTGCATAGTCCCAATATAGAAGCTTCTCTTTTGATCCTGGAATTTTTTTCTTGTATTTTTTTTCTTCCTTTATATACTTACCTTCCCATCTGTTTTCTCTTTCTTGAGTATCTCTATTCTTTGGATTTTCGATCTTCTGGATTTAGCTCTCTTTTTTATTATCTAGCTTTTTCTCTCATGTATACATACACACACATACACACACACACACACACACACACACACACTTTTTAAAAGATTTATTTGATTTTATCGATTTATTGAATTTATTATTTTACCCTTTGTTTTTAAATTCCAGGATCTCTCTTCTTCATTGATAGTATCCTATTCCTGTATCTGTGAAGAATTAATTTCATTTTTGAAGTTTTGTTTTGCCCCCTAAATTGCTTCTGTTTCCTATAGATTATTTTTTCCTGAAGATTCGCTTTGGTCTTTCACATTCTTAAAGGCCTTTCTCAAATGATTGATGATCCTAGCATGTTTGTTCATATTCATTGGTTAGTTACTAAGCAGCTGATTGAACCGAATGTTGGGATTATAGACTAGTAAGATTCAGTGTAGTGACTGGTCATGTGTTAAATCTTCTCTCTGGTGTTCTGCACTTCTTTACTATGATTTGTTTAGATGTGGATGTCATTTGTATCTGTAGTTCTCTCTGTGAATTTGTGTTTATCTTATTTCTCCAAAACTCTCAGCCAGTATTTCATTCAACATTACCTTTCTCCATGCTCTATATTCTCTCCTCTGAGCATTTTTATTAGACATGTATTAGATCTTTACATTCTGTGCTCTTTAACATCTTGCTTTCCATGTTACTGTTTTTCCTTGCTCTATTTTGGGTATTTTCTTACTGTTTACCCTCCATTTCCCCATTTTGTTTTTAGACATGCCTAATCTGCTCTTCATCCCATCCATTCAGGTATTTTGGTGGTGGTGATCGTGGGTTATTTTTTTTTGTAAGCAGTTATATCTTTCATTTACAGAAGTTATATTTGGTTCTTTTCAAGTCTGTCTGACTGCATTTTATTCCTTTGCTCATTTTTCAGCAGTATTTAATTTCATCTTAAACAGTTTTTTAATGTTTATTTTGTACTGTCTCTGGCAATACCAATGCCTACCTGTTTGGGATTCCCAATCTGTTTCTTCTGATATATTTGACTGTGGTAGATTGTTATGTATGATTTTGCACTCGTGTTTGATATTCAGCGGGAATGCTGAAATGCCTGAGTTCTAGGTGATCATTTCCTGAAATGATTTGAAATTGCTTTTAGTAGGTGTCTAGGGACACTACTAGCCTAGAACCACTTTAATTTATTAATTTGGGGATTTCCTAACAATCTGGGGTATAGAGTAAGTTA